ACCTGAAACTGAAAACTAATTGAAAACTAACCTAATTATTCCTTTCTCACAGTCTCTCCTCCTGGAAAAAAAAAAAAATCTTAGCGCTCTCTGACAAAAAATGTTAAAGCTATTCATATGAATTGTGTTGGCAGGCATTCTTGCACAAAAGATTGGAAACTATTTTAAATTCTTAAAGACTTTATGGTAACTGATACAAGTACAAAGAATTATAGCTCTGAACCTCGTTAGCGGTGACAGGAGTTTGTTTCCAGTCATGTTTTTGGTTTTGCAGTGATGCAGCAATAATAAGCTCTTACTCAGGATTGAGTTTAGCTCTTTACTGTTTAGGCTAAAGTGAATGTGCATTGAGATTGCTGTCCCCATTAGGAGAAATGAGTAGTTCCTTGGAATTTAAATGTACGTGAAGATGTATTGTGGTGATCAGAATAAAACAGATGTGAATATTTGTCTCTTGGAGAAGTTTACATTTTTCTAAACCCGGAAGATAACCTTTCTCTAATACTGTTTTTACATGAATGTTACATGTTTGTGTACTATGTTGCAGACTATTTATTATAATGTCATGGCTCATAATTTTGTGAGCCAGGACAAGTAGAAAAGAGCAAGTAACAAGATTTCAAATTTTTATTAGTTCTTCATAACAATATTTTTATTTCTTTCCAGAGCAAACTTGATGATTACCAGGAACGAATGAATAAGGGAGAACGTCTAAATCAAGATCAATTGGTAAAAAGAAAAAAAAAAACATTATCCAGATCTCTGTTAACTTGTTTGATCATAGTGGAGAAGGAAGGGATGAATTTCACTTCCCCTTTTTAAAAGCCACTGTGTAAGAGCTGTGACTTGACCTCAGTTTCCTATTACCTCGAACATCTCTGTTCTGTTAATAAGAAGCTGAAGGAATAGGTAGAGGAATTTGTTGTAATACTTTGTGGACGTTAGCTTGTAAACAAGCTGCAGTGAAAATTGATGTGCTTTTATAACCCAGTACTGTTGAAAAAGTATGATACCTTTGAGAGTTTCTGGACGTTTTCCTTTTCTTCTCAGAAAACATGTCTGGGGAGAACTGAAGGAGCTTAGTCACTTGGTGGCAACTTCTAAATACCATGCCGCCTGGTTAGAGAGGTAGCTTAGTCCAAGTTCTAAAGGATTCTGAAAATAAGGCATACCCGTGTGCGTATCATAGCCATCAGCACAGCAGATGGGGCACTCTATATATGCTGGATGTACTGCATATATAGCCTCCTTATTGAGGCTATTTCTTAAAAGTAGGTTATTGTAGAGCTTGATTCAACAGCCATTTTCCAGTTGTAATAAATATGAAGCAAATATAAATTCAGTTGTATGATCCAAACATGCATATTAATACTTCAGAGATTTCCAGAAGCTTGGAAATCAGCAACGACGTTTTGTTGACGATTTTCAACAGATGAAAGGGCTAAGAAAAAAAAAATCTATCCTATTGTACTATTGTAGTATCAATAGTATTCTAGTACCAATAGTATCCTATTGAACTATTGTAGCTGTTCACATTACAAGAATTAGCTGCTTCCCTGGGATCATGTGGTCTTTTCATCTGTCAAGGCATAACTAATCACCTTGGTTCTTTTGTGCTAACTGAAATATCCGAGAAACTACGTGCCTTAGAGACACGTACAAGTCTCATGCAGTGTTTTGGCCAATGAGAATCAAAATTTGGCACATCATTGCGGCAGTCCCATTCAGGAGTGGTTACCTTTACAGCTGTCTTGCTTAGAAACTAAATATGCGGGAAGTTGCTTGTATATATTTTGTTCTGTTTGTGATGCGTTACTTTTTCTTCTTTTTTGAAGGATGCAGTGTCAAAGTATCAGGAAGTGACAAATAATCTGGAATTTGCTAAAGAACTGCAGAGGAGTTTTATGGCTCTGAGCCAAGATGTAAGTAAAGAGCAAATGGTCCATTGTGGGCTAGCAGCTACATAGGAGCACTTAAGCTTCAGTCTGTCTTTCACTGGTGCTAGATAATACTCGATAGCCTCTGTTTACAGAAGACGAAATGCTCATGATGTCTTGTGTGTTAGATTGTTTTCCATGACTGTGTACTAGTTGATGTAAGGTTTTTTGAAGTTTTTTTCTAAAAAATTTTTCTGAAGACTACGTAAAGGTGTGGTGACAGAAACAGTGTATTTTCTTTGGCGAAATATAACTCTTGAAACAACAGTTTCATGGTGAAACAGAACTGTAATACAGTATTATATACTGCCACTTACTGCCAGTGGTAATTTTTTTTTTTTTTTTTAAAGAAAGGAGTGATTTCACAGGCTGGCCTCTCGTTGGTAAGAGGCTAAGGGTTTTTGTTTCTTTGTATGACAGTAGGATATCAAGTCTCAGCAACTGGATGTCGTACAGTCCTTTTCTCAAGATTTTTGCTGTCTTATATCTTAATAACAGTAAATTAAGTGAAACTACAGTATGGGACGTGTTTTCAAGGTTTATAAGATTTTCATGACTGTTTACTGCATACTAGTAAAACAGGAATTCTTCTGCTTTGTTGTTTCATCAAGGATGTAACATAATGGTGTAATAAATTTTAAAACTGCGGTAGGCAATTCTGGCTATATGAGCAGCTTGACTTTATTTCTTATGCCAGGAGCTTCGAACAAAACATGGCACTGTAGACCTCTGCAATTACATTGCACAGAAGAATTAACCCAGGGGCAAGCTGAAAGCTGAACCCGTTCTACAGAATTGGAGAATTCTAAATGCATTAATACTATAGAGTTAATGAATTATAGAGAGAAGAGTAACATTGGTGGATTTCATTGTGTAGCACAGCACACTGGTCTAACAAATGTGTTTAGGTTATGAACAGACTGTGGTAATTTCCAGGGCATCAGCATCCACACGTTACAAGCTACTCTCTACCTTTGATTCAGTTGTACATTTGTATGCCTTTAAGCCATTTCTTTGCCTGTCTTGCATTAGGGTTCCATGTATGTGTGTGGAAAGCTAGTAACCGAGACCTTTTTTCTTCTTACAGGTTTCTTCTGAAATTTAGTGTCCTTGGTCAGCTGATTTTTTGAGAGAAACTAGTGAATCCGGGATAATAAGTTGATCCTCTGCTTTCAAACTTTCTTGCATTTTTCCCTAATCGGAGTTAGCTTTCATACAGCTGACCTGAATATCAAGCTTTTGTTTAAAAAAGAAACAAAAAAACCCCCCCTCAAAACAGCAGTTTCAGAGAGAGAAAGTTACTATTACAAGTTACATTTGTTAAAAAGATTAAAATATTCTGTGCTTACAAAATGAGCAAGCTGTATTTTGGATGCTAGGTGCTCAGATTAAGAATAAGAACATAAGTAATGACTTGTGGGTTCAGACCTGGGAGACAATTCAGTCCAGTGTTACGACAGCGGTAGTAGAAGGTACTGGATCGAGTACAAGGCTGATCACTGTCACTCATCCATTACCTTCCAGCAGCCACAATCCTTTAATGGAGAATCTTAGTGAGCAGATCCCTCACTGTTCCCTTTAGTATCTATCTGTAGACCTGTTGTCCATGGACAACTTGAATTCTTTTTGAGCTTGCTGAAACTATCTTCCCAGCCTTTTGTGGCAAAAAACTTAGTAAGTTCTCTCCCACAGTATGTGAGAAACAGGAATTTTTTTTGTTTATCTGTTCTAAGCTCATCTCCTAGTTTCAATGAATGTCTCCTACCATTCTGGGATATGATGAATAACTGAATAACCACCCTGTTCGCCCTGTCTGCTGGCCTTTGTGTGTGTGTTTTGTTTTGTTTTACTTTGTTTTTTTTTTTAACCTGGATCACTGGATCACCCTTACTCGTCCAAATTGAAGAGCCTGAGACTTTGGTCTCTGTTCATATGGCAGTTGTTCTGTGCCCTTAATCATCTGAGTTGCCCTTCTCTTCTAATTGCTGTATGTCCTACTTGAGTTATGGAAACCAAAAGTTGTAAACAGCCAAGATGTTTGCTTTTAAAAGGTGTTTGTTTGTTTTTTTTTTTAATACTATTGGTACTTTTATCTAGGTAAAAATTACTTAGGACTTTACAGAATAACTCACAAGGAAGCAGGTAATACCGAGCTGGGTTTGTTTCAGGTAATGCTTTCATCTCTGAAACCTTAAACACTGTTTGTAACTACAGGTGGTTTACTGAACTATTTGTCAGTCATGAAAAGAAATACAAGCTTCAAATAATATGACCAAGATCCAAATGTTTCCAGATCTGTGGCTGTGACTCTAAAGTTTGTCTTACTTGCAGGCATTTGACTTTGCTTAAAAGATACCCTTCTTATTTCACGAGTTAGTCTGCTCTGATGTTATATTAATAAGTTGCAATTCAACAGCAACATCCGTCTCTGTTTACCAATAAAAGACGTTTCAAGCCTAAATTTTTTTTCCTCCTAAGTTCACCACAAGGCAGAGCAATTTAAAGTTCCTTTTTTATTTTGAGCAGATCCAGAAAACAATAAAAAAGACGGCTCGCAGGGAACAATTGATGCGAGAAGAAGCTGAGCAGAAACGTTTAAAGACTGTACTAGAATTGCAGTTTATTTTGGACAAGTTGGGTGATGATGAAGTACGCAACGACTTGAAACAGGGATCAAATGGAGTACCGGTACTGACAGAGGAGGAACTGACAATGCTGGATGACTTTTACAAGCTAGTTTACCCGGAACGGGACATGAACATGAGGTAGACTTACAGTAAAGTACTTTATAATTATCAATCTGTTAATGGTATTTTTTGTCCCATTATCGTGTAAAGACTTGAGTAAGACTTCTGTTGCATTCTTCTTAATAATTTTTTTATTTGTTTACTTTTGAGGTTAAATGAGCAGTATGAGCAAGCATCTGTTCACCTGTGGGACTTGCTGGAGGGGAAGGAAAAATCTGTTTGTGGAACAACCTGTAAGTATATTTTCTGTATTAAGAGACAGCACACCAAATTTATGCTAGATACAACGTCTGATATCAAAGAGCTTTGACTGCTGAATATCATCATAGTTTATTTTAGAGTAGCTACTTTATTTTGGACCTTATTTGGACTCTAACAATAACTTATGGAAGTGTAAACTTACTGCACTGGGTATTTGTTACTGAGACAGCATTACTCAGTACTTACCTGAGTCTGTTTCTGCTAGTTTAGCAGTATTCTGCTGCTCTTGGTGTTCAGTAGCAATTCTTTGTTCTCTGGAAACCTGTCTCCCTGTGTCTGGTCAGGGAGCTTTGTCAGTAAAAGGACCTGATACGTAAACTGGCACGGCCTTATTTAGTGTAACATTCCACTCCCTTGTCTCCTTCTTGTTCTTAAAAAAAAAAAAAAAAAAAAAAAAAAAGAAAGGGGAGGGAGGGCATTCTTTCTTGCCCTATTTTAAAAGGAGGATGAGTGTTTTTATGTCCCCTTAAAATTACAATTCTAGTTACTTTTCTGTATGCTGAAAAATATGCTTTGAATATAAGTAGAACACAGTTGTGGGGGGCGCAAGGGGCTTACTATTTCTGTCATAGGTATAGCTGTTTTGGAAGTCCAACAAGGTAATATTTAGGAAATTGTAGGATGCTATCAAACTAACGTGACTAAAGACTAAATCATCATGTCTTATTGCAAATATAGCTTGTCCTGAGGATATGCTTTTTTGTACTGTGGGGATTTTAAAGTCTCCTGGTTGGAAGTAAGAGAAGTTTTAGGGAAGATTATAATTTTTGTAGGTAAAATGGGTACCTTTCTTATTTTTTAATTCATCTTTGTTACAGTATAGTAGTACTGAGATGTTGAAAGAGTGAAAGAGGTATTTTTGGTTTTTTGTTTTTTTTTAAATTCTTTTTCATAGTAAGTGGAACGATAGCGTTGCAACTGTACTAAGGAGTAACATACAGAGGATTGTAACGTAATATGGCCTTAATGGTAATAGGATTTTCCTTGTTTGTGCCAGAATAGGAATCTTCAAATTTTTTTTTTATACTGTTAAAATGAGATTTTGTGGGTGGGGTACCGGGTTAGTACCTTTTGTTTAATGTTTGCTTTTACAAGGACTTAGATTAGCCTCACGTGATTGTGATGTTAGATCACGTTTTGTGGAGTCACGTTGCTGAGAGTGAGACGATACGTACTGTGTATCTTTGAAGAGCTGGAGGGAAGGGAAGGTGTGGGAGTAGCTCCCAGGAGAGAGAGAGGATATATGCTCCTTAGGGAGCCAGTCATTCTGTTACTTGATTAAGTTGCACAGAGTATTGTGTCTGGATCTCAGGATGAGTGCTTAGTGATGTCCTTGGCAGCCAGTGCAGTTTTGCTTTGTCCTATAACTTGGGATTAATTTTACTGTATTTCTGTGCTCTTCTATGTGTGTCTATTGATTCAAACAATGAGCATTATCACTTGCCAAACGTGGATTCGTGGATCTTTGTTTTCAGTCTTTTATTTTTTGTTGGCCTAGACAGTCAGTAATACTGCCTTGCCATTGTGGCTGTACTGATTTGTTCTGGATTAAGAATCTACAGCATTCATCTGAGGCACTGAGTGCAAGCTTTTGCTTATTTCATTTACAAAGCCTGTTCTGAGCCACTTACCTTAGGAGGGGGAAACCCCACAAAGGTACTTCTTTTGTAAATGTGTTTATTCTGACACGGTTGATCTATAAGGAATTGATTTACTTAAAGCTTTTTTCTTTTTTCCTTCTTTTTTTTTTTTTTGGATAAAGTCATTATGTAGATTACAAAAAAATTCAGTTGCAGTCAAAACTTCGGTGGGCTCCTAAACTTGACAAGCTCAAAAATGAGCAACCAAAGGTTTTTTGACACAGCAGTAATAAAAGTATGGTAATTAAATTGGTAAACTCTACCTTACTTTGAAATATTTCACAGATTTTTAGAAAAATGTTATAGTGTTATGATTGTCCTTGCCCTTCAAATTTTTGTGATCTATTTTATGATGTTGTATTTTATGATGTAATAATATAGATACTAGTTCTAGAACAGTAGTGTCTGTGATTAGCTTGGGGCAACAGCAGTTTACCAGCAAATAAGACATGTGGGATCTTTGTGGGGAAAGAAAAAGATAATTAAGGTTAAGTGACCATTAGTCTGAAACTTACTCTGTTTTCCCAGATAAAGCTCTAAAGGAGACTGTTGAACGTATTCTTCAAACTAGTTACTTTGATAGCACCCATAACCATCAGAATGGATTGTGTGAGGAAGAGGAGACAGCACCCACACCTGCAGTGGAAGATCCTGTAGCAGAAGCTGGTAAGAACACGAAGATCTGTTGTGATTAATACGTTGTTTGTGGTCTTGTGCTGACTTGTCTTTCGGTATTAAATTGCATTTACAGTTTAATCATTCTGATTAAGTGCAAAAAACACTTGTCTCTGAATTCTTTCAGATTCCTGTAGAGCTTAACGTTATGATTTCTAAACAAAATTTGGTTTGTCTGTACTATTTAAAATGATGAAAGATAAAATTTCTGATTACTCCGTGGGAACCTTTTCTGCTTTGCAATGATTCCACCGGTTAATCCTTTGTTAGAAGGGAAGAGTTTCTTGTGCATACTTGAAGAAATTTAAGAATATGCTAACAAACTTGAAGAAAAGTTTCCTGCTCTTTTTCTGCTCTTTTTTTTCCCCTGTGGAGTTGTGTCGTGGAGGAAGGTGGAATTTGGGGGAACTGAATGCAGCTCTTCATAGCAGAAGTAGATGATTTTTCTCTCCCCCCCCCCCAAAACAAACAAACAAACAAAAAACTTAGGGTATCTTTATCGCTTAATTTTTTGTTAACGTTCTGATGTCTTTATTTCATGCATTCTGAAATATGGTTCTTTTTCTACCTTGTAATCTTAGGTTTATTTCTGAGCCCAAGAGATGCTTGATTCATTGAGGCAGCAATATTGAGGCTCTAACTTAAGATCTGATCATAATTCTGTATTACCCCTCCTCCTCGATTTCTCCCTCCCCTCCGCCCGCCCTGAGTTTTGAAGGTGTGTCAAGAGGCAACTCCTTCCTTACTGTATAGTGAGCTTCCAGTGTTAGGTATTAATGTCACTTGAGTTAATGTACCTCTGTTCGTTCGTATATCTAGTTGCGCTCCTGTGTACTAATTGTCCATAACACCACTTTTAATGCTTTTGTTAAAGCAAATGACTGCTGCAAATGCATCAGGTTTCTTCCAAATTCTACTTTTACTGGGGGAAGATTTTTTTTTTTTTTAATTTAATACCTTAATATCTTTTAGGTCTGTAATATGCTAGTTCACTGAAAGTGTGTGTGTGTGTTTATTTTTTCTTTTACAGAACCTGATGCAGCAGAAGAATTTACTGAGCCAACTGAAGTTGAATCAACTGAGGTATTATTCACTGGAAAGATTGTCACTTTGTACAGTTTTAATGCCACTTACTTTTACTTTCATACCCTTTCTTATTTTTATTTTAGTATGTAAACAGACAATTCATGGCAGAGACTCAGTTCAGCAGTAGTGAGAAGGAACAGGTAGATGAGTGGACAGTTGAAACGGTTGAGGTAAGACCTTGTGTACCGCAGGTAAAATTGCAATCCCTGTTTCCACTGAATCACAATTCATGACAGGTTTTAGTGTTGTGCCCCCTCCCCCATCGCTCCCTGCTTTATATACGTATGTTTAAATAGGCTTGGACTTGACCACTCATTCTTCAAGCGCGTGTTCAGCTCAGGAGTACCTAAAATAAGAGCTGTGCAGCCTGGTTAAGTTTGTGGAGAACTTGTATTGTACCACAGTGGCTTGCTTGAGAAAATGGGACTTAAAAACTGGGCGTTTTTTTTGTTCTTGTTTTAAAGACTTAAGCCCAAAAACCAATAACACACACTTTGGTGCAAATGTAGGACTTAAGTTTAGCTACGCAGTTGCAGACAGCGTGGCATACTTGTGCAGTTCCATGAGGAGAGAGAGGAAGATCTGTATTTCAGCTCCTCTCTACTCCAAACTGCATATGCACATAATTCTCTCCTGAGATATACCTAAACGTGCTTCTCATCTTTTTGCTTTTAAGAAATACTGTTCTTACGATCAGTGTTTAACTCATTACTACTTTGCAGCTGAGTGCGTGTTCACTTGTGATGTTTGTGGTACGTTGCTATTGGGATCTGTTCCCAGTTTAGTATTTCAAACTCTAGACTTAACTACATGTACAAAGTCCATCATTTTATTATACTAGAGTGTGTGTTCTTCACACACACTGGAAAGGAATAGTCACATGCAGTCACTCAAATTTTTGATACGTTTGGTGCTTGCCTTGTGTCTCTCTGTTAGCAACAGACGTGAATAGTGTCTTTCTGGTGCTGGGACATGTTAATCTGTGGTTTACCTTAGCCTTCTGCCTCGGCGAGTTCCAGGTGCTTAGTTTTTTAGACTCTCTTCTCTTTAATTGTGTATGGTGTCTTCAGGGTCTCTAAACATCAGAGCAGAGTAAGAATTCATCACCTCTTCAAGAGGTGAAGAAGAGAGGGGCCATCTTGACACGATTATCCGTTCTGCCAGATCCTGTATTCAGTCTAGATGAAATTCATGTTTTCCGGTTTCAAAGACCGTTAAGAGAGTTGCTAATACTTAGAATGGATGTGAGGCTTCTATAATTAACTGAACAACTTTTCCATATATGTAAACCATTTTGGTAGTATCTTGTCATAGTACTCTCTTCCCGCACTAAAAGACCTGAAAAATATCACTATGGAATGTGATTTGAGGAAGTAAAAAATCCACTCCTCCAGTAAAACCACACATTAAAGGGATGCTAGTTTTGGGGCTATACTTGTGAGATTACAGTAAAAGAGATGCTTTAAGTTTAAGTTAAGGCTTGTCTGGGTTCTGTCTATCCTGAAACGTACCTGAATTATATCTGTGTTTATATCAAGTGTCCTGAGTAGCCCAATTCTGCATAGTCCTTAATACAAGTGTTTCCAGTACTTGTGTCCTCATCCATACCATTGTTATCCTTGAAGCCTGTTGTGTTTCTATCTGCTCTTAAAGTCTAAAACTACGTTTTGCACGGTTAAAAACTCAGACGTGTCCTGATAGAAATAGTAATATGCAGTAACCGTACTAGTATAGCAAAAGAACACAGTTTGTAGTTTTGTATCAGACTTATTTTAGACGTTCATAATTTTCCATATCTCATTCCTCATCTGTTAAATCTGGGTTATATGAGTTTTGTTTTTACAGAGTAATAAAAGCAGTACGAATATGTACTTCAGTTCTCCTTTCTGTCTCAATTTCTCGAACTGTGTATAAATGAACAATTTAGAAATACTTAGGGTTGAAGACTGCTTCTTCATAATTAAGAACTTTATTTTCTAATGGGCTTTAACACAAGAAGAGGAAATTGAGAATAACTGTCTTTGGAAACGACTCTTGCTGTTCTTGCACCAAAATCCCATTCCTCATGGGAATGAAACTGAACTGTCCTTAGAGAAGATGGTCGTATTTACTCTGTAGAGCTTTTCTGTGCCTCAGCTCAAGAGAGTTGTAGCTTTAGTATATGAAAAAGTATGAATGGTAAGTGACGTGTTTTGGAAAATAAGTTTTCTGCGAGAGAACGTTTATGCAGAAGATTTCTGTCACTGTTCATGAAGAAGGCTATCACGTTAATTTTCTTCAGTAGCTATCAAGTAGATGGAGGTATGTTTGAGCTTTCTGTGGTATGTTTATACTTTGAGAAGTGACAGTATCTCACATGACGCTTTTGTGTGAGCCTTCCATGCATTTTAAACTAATGAATTTGCGTGTGAATTCTCAAGGCATGTTTATTTTTGGATTATAATAGTGTTTTAATTCTGATGATGATGTCCCTTATTGGTCATGGTTTTGGATTTTTTTTTTTTTCCACCTCATCCCTTCCTAATGAGTACCTTGCTGATTGAACCTGCTTCTGTGCACAGTATTCTGTGTTGTGCAGAACTGGAGACTGTGTTCTATGAATGCCAGAATACAAGTTCATTCTGGAAGGCCTGTGGTCTTGTTAAGCTTCTGTTTTCATCTCTCCTCTTTTCCCTTCTCTCGCTTGCCCCTGGCCTTCTGTACCCTGTCATTCTCCTAATCCTGTTTGGGCAGCTCTGCCTACCGGGATGGTAGGAATGGACTTTTAAGTCAAGTACTACTGAGAGATTCAGCCTTCCTAAAAATTGTTTTGTCTTGCTGCTGTTGCTCCAGATGAAGGAAGAGGTTTTGGTTGCACAATAAATTGTGGGGTGCTTTTTTTTAATAATGATCCTTATATTTAAGGAATCTCTGTAGCTTTTTCATGAAGCAGATTGAGTTAAAAAGCTGGAAATAGAGCCTGCTTATTAGCAACTTAATAAGCAAAAACTTAACCTTTTTTGTTGTTGTTGTTGTTTATCCTAACATCATGGCTAAACCCTGTCAAAGTACCTGTTAGTGATAGCAAGACTAAAGGAATAGGACCTAAACAGTTCCTTTTAACGTTAAAAAGAGATTTGAGGAAGACACTGTAAAATATGAAGCACCATCTGAAGTTACTACTGTAGTATTTGTAGAAAAAGAACTGATGATATTTTGTCCCTCGTCATACTCCTGGTTATTGAAGATATTGGATTGTTAGGAATGACTCGACTACATAAGTTGAGTGATGAAAGTCAAATAATAAAGAACTTTTTATAATGGCTGTATAGGAGGTCAGTGGCTGCTGGTTTTACCTTGGAAGTTTTATCTAGTCCTCTGGCTCGCTTTTTTCTTTCCTCTTGTTTTAAAGCTTTGTACTATGAGAGGGGTCCATATATGTGCTGTAAATAACATTTTTCAAAAATAACTTTTTTCCCCCCCCTTATATGATTTTCTTATTTAATTTGGTAACAGTCCATAATTTGCAGTTTGGGGACTGCATAATACAGAAAAGCAGAGTTAGGTATGCCTCTCCCCGCTGTTGGCAGCGTTAGGGTGCACTTCCATGGGAATTCTCAGAAGAGCTTCTCTTTAGATAGCTAATACTTGTGAAGGGAATCTTAGAGGAATGTAGGTATGGTTAGGGATTTGGTCAAGGGAAAAGCCATTTAAGACTGGCAGGCACTTGCAGGTGCCGAATGTCACATATGAGTAACATTTGGATAGCCAAGCAAGGTGTAGGCACTTAACTGTTAGAAGATACTTAGAGGATTCTTTGCGAAGTTTAGAAAAGAAAAGAAAAGAAAAAATTACAAGCTTTGAGGGTGGATAAGGGGGAGGAGTTCAAAGTTTGCAGACCTGTGATTATAGAACTGATTTGCTTAAAATAAGGTTGTCTTATCATTTGTCATGACTGCTGTACTGCATCTGTCTTTTGAAGTTCCAGTAAGAAACCAGATGCTTTATGTTAAGTTTAATTATTTTGAACTTTCAGGTGCATGTATGCTAGATGATGTCCATATAACTTAAGTTTAGGGCTTGCCTGTTTATGTGGAAGATTATTAACAAATAATAGACTTACAGTATTTAGAATGCTTTGTGGGAGTAGAGAAACTGTAGAGAAGTTATTGACGATGATCCTGTTTTTAAAGGACAATTAACATGAGTACAAAATGAAAACGGCACTTCTGATTATGGAAGTTGCCTAAAGAGTGAAACAGAAATGTAAAAGCACTACTACTTCTGCACCTCAGCCACCCTTGTAACTGTCTGCTTTCAAACAACTTGATGCCAAACGTTCTCAGATGTTTCTGTTCAGCTTTCCTTGTTACTCTGCTATCTTTGATAAGGCTGTATGTGAAAGCATCCTGCTATTTCTTACCTTCCAGGCCACTACTGAAGTAAGTAGTTAATCCTGTCTGCCCTTCTGTATATGATGAAGTTCTTACCATCTTTCATTCTCTTTGAGCTTCCTTGCCCACTATGAATTATGTGTCTCTTTCTGGCCTCTTCATTTTATTTCTTTACTCGCCCTCCCCAGCCTGCTGTTCTGGAATCTTTCCCCCAAACAACGCTGCCTGCTGTTCTCTGAGACCAGAAATCAGTTTAGGTAGGGTAACACTTAAGAACTCAAGTTAGACGTGGCTATGGAGACTTAGAATTTTTGAAGTCTTAAGACCGACCCACAAATTCTGACTGTGCTTACATTTTACAGAAACGTTATAAAAGGAATTACTCTCCATGTGTGCGTCTTCCTGAAACTTATTTTTCCCTGAGTTCTTTGAATTTCTAAAAGTAGATGATGCAAGACAAATTGTTGTCTCTAACCCTGCTCTAAAAAAAGGCTCTCATGCTGAAATGACAAAGATTTTAGTTAGTGCTGTTCCTAATGGAGAATAGTTAGAGTAGCAGGAAAGCAAATAACGTTGAATAAATACAGCCTAAACTTTCTAATCCTATGGAGTATCCAGATCAATAGCTTGGGCGTATTGACGTGACTGTAAGAGGTATTCTTCAGGAATACTATCGTTATTTTGTTCTTAATGAATTAGACAACTGCCATAAATTAAAAAAACAACTGAGTCATCTTATTTCTGTTCTGTGCTGTGTTGTGTGAAGCTTGAGCTGAAATTTCAGTCAATTGCTTGTTTCTTTACTAGGTTGTAAATTCACTCCAGCAACAGACACAAGCTACATCTCCTCCAGTTCCTGAACCCCACACGCTCACTACTGTGGCTCAGGCAGACCCTCTGGTTAGAAGACAGCGAGTACAGGACCTTATGGCACAGATGCAGGGCCCATATAACTTCATGCAGGTATGATGAACTCAACTGTGTAACTATTGAGATGGAAGGAATAAACAAAATAGCACTTGCTGGCTCTTAGTCATAATTTAAAGAGCCTGCTGCATTTTATTTAAAAAAAAAAAAAAGAAAGAAAAAAAATCTTGAAAACCTAGTACTGCTATACAGCCAAGATCTGATCCGAAGCCCTAAACCCGTGCCGCTGTGAAAGTACAATTAGAATGTTATTGAACTTTAGTTCTTGTTTGTAGTAAATGTACAGAGAAGGCAGGGAATTGTGGACCAGTGGATGCTGTAGCATATCTCACTTACTGAGAGCAGCTATAAATACCCCTTTCTGTAAGCTAATTTTAATTTTTGTGTTACGAAAACCTTCTAGAAAACATGAGTAGACTTTTTTGGATTACTTCTCAAAGGCTCTCAAAACAACAAGTGTTTCTTGCAGTTTCTAGTACCTTTACATCCAAAGTTAGAAGAACTAGAAATACAATGGGCATTAACTGGATGCATCAGAAAACAACTCTCTTCCTCCTCATCAAATAGAGTAAACAAAGAAGTCAGTAAGAAGTGAGGCGCATGCTTATTGCATTCCTTTTTTTCCCTGTTAATATATTGAGTTTAGTCACTTAACTGCAAAGTGAAAATGCTAACATAGAATGAAAAATAAAGAACAGATCACCTGATATCCTGTCTGGCCCTTAAAACCTGCCTCTAGCAGATAGAAACTAATTTATATTTGTGGACTGAATTTTTACTGTGATAAATATATTTGGAATTTTTAGTGTCTTGATTCAAAACGTTCAGTAAAAGCAGCATTTATTTAATGTTGCGCTTTCTTTACCGTGACCTGATCACTTATATGCTATGAATATCAGTATTTTTAGAGTGCAATAAATTGGGTGGTATCTAATTTTTCAGGATTCTATGCTGGAGTTTGAGAACCAAGCACTTGATCCTGCCATTGTGTCTGCACAGCCCATGAATCCAGCACAGAATTTGGACATGCCACAGATGGTTTGTCCTCCAGGTTTGTAATGGTAAATCCTAAGAGAGAATATTTGGGGAGGCCTGCAGATTGTCTATTAGAAGTGCCTCAGTTACAGTTATATAGTAAATGGATCATCACAACTGATAATACAGTAATGTTAAAGTGCTTTTTTCAGGAAATGTAAGTGTACTTTGGAGGTATACTGTTTATAGACCTGTGAGTCTCACTTGCTTCTAGGTTTTGTTTAAACGCGTGGAACATATAAACTCTTCTAAATTGGTAAAAATATACTTTTCCTTAGACTTGTTTTCTGAAATAACTAGATAATTTTGGACAATTTAGGGAAAAAAATTTTTTTTGTGGAACTTGCTACTTTGTATATAATCCTTTGATGCTAAAGGGGCTAATCATCTCTATGATGATGATGAGTTCATGATAATGATGAGTATCAAATAACTTTATCAAATAACTTTATTAGATAATAAAGATGGTAATGCTATTCTGTAAAAGGTTTAATTGTACTACGTAATAAGTAAAATTACTTCACTTTAGTTCATGCTGAGTCGAGACTTGCCCAGCCCAATCAAGTTCCTGTGCAACCAGAAGCTACACAGGTAACATGTTTAATAAATTGTATTTTGGATTCTTAATTGACTGTCGTTGTACTTAATATTATAGTAGGACTTGATTCCTTCCAGTTTCTGATAAACTTACGAAAAGCTGACGTTCTGATTTTGGGAAACTGTTTGTTTATCTTCAGTATCTCTTCAGCATTGCCACTGCGTAGCATAAAGCTTCTGTTTAGTAACGCTTATAGAAGGGTGCAAATTTTCTGTAATGGAGTTTTATCTGGCTTTGTCCCTTTTGGGGAACTCTGAGGTTCAGTGCTGAAGCACGAGTTTATTGAGGAAACTGCATTTAGAATTAGAGGCCCCTTAAACCTGGGGGCACAAGCACGGGAGCAGTTCCAGTTTGTTCTGCGTGTTCTAATGGGCCGATGGACTTCCTGGACTTCAGTCTTTAAATTCATTGCGTTTATGTGATTTTCTTAGGTCTTTTTTGTAAATATCTATGTAGTTGAGCATTAGGATCCCCTCACTTGAAGATGTATATCTCATGTGACACTGGTGAATTTTAAAGGTTTTTTAACTTAAGATTTCTCTATCTATTCTATTCAAGATGGACTAAGAATTGGATGTAACTCAATATTTGCCTAGTAGTTTTCTTTCTCATTCTGAGCTATATGAAGCAATATCTTTAATTTACGTGGAAGCAAGTTATCCTTTATTTGTGTACTTGTAAGTGACAGAAATGCCAAGAACAAAATTACTTAAAGGTCAGTCTGTATCTACTAGGGTCTTCAAGCAAGTGTCGGACCACAAATAGAGTTGATAGGTTAACTATTTAGTTTCTGTTGTTGTAGACTTATTCTAATAAGAATTAGTCTCAGTTGCTTGCGTGGATAATACTTCAATACTGGAGTTGTTAAGCACTCATTCTGAGTTAGAATACTGTTTTCAGTTGAGCTTTCCTGCAAGTGCTGTGTAAGTAGGCTCTCTTAAACTTGCTGCTGCAACGTGTAAGTGATGTATTATCCTTTCTGTTAAGATGCTGTCTCTTACTGTATTTTCTAGTGCTTGAAGAGCTTCGTGATTTTGCATTAAGCACTAATAGCATCTCGAAAGGACTCTGCTGGTCTCAGATAATGAATGTGGTCTCTGTAGATGTAGATCACAAGGAAAAATCTAAGGAGATTGTATGTCTCAGGGTAACGTTAGTATAAATTGCTTGCTACGTCTTGTGCAGATGAGCTCTGCAAGGTTTAAGTCACTCATTTCACAGCAACAGGAATGTGATGTTTTTTCCTCTGTAGGTGTGCCTGCTGTATTTTTCCAGTATTGTTGGTTTATAGATGTAGAGCGACTTGTATGAGAGTGTTTTCCCTTACGACCTTTTGTTTTACAGTGTTAAATGATGCCTGTGCCAGACCCTAATGTAGTATTCTTTACCTTATTTTCCCTTGCCTCAACCTCCTCATAGGAGTCTTGCAAGCAGTAGCTAAACTGTCTCTGATTTTTCCTTTTGAACGGTCAAAAAGGTGATTTGAGCATACCCATCACTGATGAATTTCCTCTTAAAGTCCCCAACAGCCTTAAATGCAAAGTCCTCTACTTTGTTGGCTAAAGTTCTCACTGGATGCTGTGTTGGGGAGTTTTGGTGGTGGGTGTGGTTTGGGATTTTTTTGTTTGTTTGTTTGTTTTTTTTACAGCTTTTTGTAATGGCAGTTTTGGTCATGTAACTATATGAGAGGGCTTATCTTCAGTTAAAGCAAATATACGTTCACTTGTTTCAGAAATACCCACAGAATAAAATTTGACTTGGGGGATGGGGGGATATGGACATCAGAATATATGAAATGAAGAAGCTGAGGAGGGTAGACTTGTTTTAAAAAGTACATAATTTTAAAGCATTGTTAGTAAAGACCTGCTGGAATATATGTTTTTACTAGAGAGTGTCGTTCACGGTTCTCTGATACTGTTTGTAAAGCTGTGTGTGAGCATCAGCTGACTTCTTGGGGCCTTGCGGGGGGGGTTTATTTTGTTAGGTTCCCTTGGTTTCTTCTACAAGTGAGGGATATACAGCCTCCCAACCCATGTATCAGCCTTCTCATACAACAGAGCAACGGCCACAGAAAGAATCAATTGACCAGATTCAGGCAAGTCAGATTTCACAGGGTGGGGAGGACTCTGCTTGCAGGTATGATTTAATGTTAGTATACATTTCTTTCGAAAATAAAGCTTCATAATTCTTGGTTATCTATCAGTAGGGCCAGTTCCATTCCATTTAACTTCCGAATTTTTAGCCTATCTTTTATCAGTAAATCCTTCATAGTAGGATTTTTAACTTACTAAATTGTCTACTAGGTGATCTTAACTGTTTAGTTAGAAGTAACATGCCAGCATTAGCACATGAGATCCACATCGCTAGTTTAGGCAAAGTGATTTATTGTTGACATAGACTAGTAGTTGTTAGTTCAGAAACTTGTTTATTTCCGCTTCAGTTTTTTCTAGTTGTGTTTCAAGGTAATAAGGGGGAAGACTGCTAGGTTTTTCCTTTCCCATTATACTGTTGTCAGTGAGGCTGTTCAGCTGAAGTAGAAAATGTTCATTTGTTGAGGTGAATTGAGGCCTTGTCTTCAACTTTTTTTTTTTTTTTTGTAAATAAAGTGAAACTTTGATGCCAAGTTTTCAGTACTGTTCAAAAGCTGCTAAAATATTGTTTGTTTCTAATTATTAGGCTTCAATGTCACTGAATGCAGACCAGACCCCATCATCATCATCACTTCCCACTGCGTCCCAGCCTCAAGTATTCCAGGCTGGATCTAGCAAACCTTTGCATAGCAGCGGAATCAATGTTAACGCAGCTCCATTCCAATCCATGCAAACAGTAAGTAGTAAATACTTGACGCTGAATCTCTTTATTTTGGTCATCGTTCTTTTTGTGGCTGTTACAACACTTGAATCAGTCACATAATTATACAAAATGCTCTTTGTTTATTCATATTTCTGTCTTGTGTGTTTGTTTATAATTCCTCATTGCATAACGTAAAAGATAGATTGGACCAGAGAGCTATTTTTCTAACATCATAGGTATTCAACATGAATGCACCTGTTCCTCCTGTCAATGAGCCAGAAACCCTTAAGCAACAAAATCAGTACCAGGCCAGTTACAACCAGAGTTTCTCCAGTCAGCCTCACCAAGTAGAGCAATCAGATCTTCAGCAAGAACAGCTCCAGACAGGTAAATTTATTTTAGGCAAAACTCAAATGAAGGTAATTTCAGTTGAGCAGATAATCAAGGCTGCGAAGTTCTAGGAGACGAAGCAAAGCATGTCACACATCAAATGTTCCTAGTCTTGCCAGATTTTCCCCCAGACAATGCTACTTTTTGTTGCTTTGTTTTGCACCCCAATATTCTGTCCTGATTTGGATATCCAGCAGAGGGTGAAATTTAGTACGTCTCTCTGCAACAGTCAAAAGAATTTTGCCACTTAATTCAATTACATATGGTTGGGTGGGTGGTTTGGTTTTAGGGTGGGCGTTTAGCTTGTTTGTTTATTTGCTTTGTTTTGTCTTGTTTTTAATTCATGACCATGGTTAAGGATTACTCTAAAGATGAGAGCAGTATAGTGGAGTAATTGCTTTGCATATGTAAAGTTTGGACGATTCTTAAATTTGCTTAAAAAACAGTTGGACTATTTAAGGTGACAAATTTTGAAAGGGAGATGAGATAGAATTGTGATTCAGATATGGGCTTCATTGCATTAAGGGTTTGAGATACCTACCTTGAAGGTGATTTAAGGCTTGTAAAGACGTGGAACCTTTTGCTAAAATTGGACCTCAGAGCCATAATTTGAGCACAGCAGGCAAAATGCTTTCCAAGTTACAGTTTACTTCAATTTTTTTCCTCCTCTCCCAAATTGTTATGTACAAAGTTATTCTTCCCCCAGCTCTCCCTTCGCTTCCCACTCAGATAAAATTCTCAGCTGCAGAGAGGGATTTCATGCGAAGGATAGAGGACAGAGGTGACAAATGAAGCGCTGAAGGTGGAGTAAGGGAAAAGAGCTTAATCGTTGTTCTCCACGACTGTTTAGGGTCTAGAACGTTGGTCTTTCCTGTAAGATAGGGCCCTGGGGCAGGTGGATGGCGAGAGGGAGAACCAGTTCTTTATTGTTTGGTTATATTTCTGATCAGCGATATAAAGTGCCAGGCAGAAGGATAATCAGAATGATGGGTGAATGGCAGTCAGTCTAGTCTGAATGGGAACGGTGGTGGTGAAGGTGGGCCATGGAGTATTAAGTGCTTAAATTTCTGTTATAGCTAAGTAAATTTAACTGTTGATATGCAGATCATGCAGCGGCCTTAAAACTTGCGAGTGCTAAAAACTCTAAAGGATAACCATTTTTCCATTCCGCTCTAAGAGCTGACAGGAAGTTGGGAAGAAAGGAGCTGTACGCAAGTTCAGTAGCACTGTGTGCTTTTGGTGTCAACCAATACAGAGCACTAAGTTGCGCTCTGTATTGGTTGATGGAGAAATCTTAATTTCTTACGTGTGAAATGGGAGAGGGGAGCTTATCACTTGCGTGTTTTCTTTGAGATCTTGTTTTAGCATTTGGTATCAGGCCAAATTTTCAACTATTTCAGCTTTACCTACATCTGTTTACCTATTCCATCTATTACTATGCTTACTTTGAGCCTATGACCCTCAGATCACTTTTATAGTCCTGACACTTCTGACAGTTCCTATGATGTAAAGATGTTGTGATGTTCCTTATTTCAAAGATGCTTTCTGCTTTTATGCTGTATCCCTGAAGCTATCCATCCTGCCCATGCATTCTGTTTTTGTACTGTATCCCTGAAGCTATCCATCCTGCCCATACCTTTTGATTTACACGTTGGGAAGAAAGCAAGTATCTCCACCCAGCCTGGACAGTTAAAACTACACTCTGTTAAGATATTCCCATCGATCTCGCCTCTAGTCAACACAGTTAGACCTAGCACAGTGAATTTAGTTGAAGTGAATGCAAATACTTCTTAGTAGCCCTCTGTCAGTTCAGAGGGGAGAGAGAGATACCGAAGTGAGTAGAACTTAGTCTATTCATAGGTTTTTTTTTTTTCAAAGTTTTGTGTTGCTGATTTTTTTTTTTAAAAGGTAGGAAATAGGACAGGAGACCTAACTTTGCATTAGGAATACCTGTCACTGAGCTAACACTAGAGATTTCTTGACACTGCCTTAAATCAGCACTCTAGTATTTCTAGATTATTTTCGTGTTGTGGAACATCTGACTAGTAAACTTGATGCCTAATCCTACGGATTGTTTTTCTTTGGATAAGTGTTTGTTGATGTGCTTGGTAGTACTGCAAAGCTTTGAACATTGAATTAGAAGAGAGCATGTGTGAGAACATTAAATATAAACTCAGACGTTTATACTGTCGGTTCTTTTTTTCCCCCTTCGTTACAGTGGTTGGTACTTACCATGGTTCCCCGGACCAGACCCATCAAGTGGCAGGTAACCACCAGCAACCTCCCCAACAGAATACTGGATTTCCACGTAACAGTCAACCTTACTATAACAGTCGAGGAGTGTCTCGTGGTGGATCACGTGGGGCTCGAGGCTTAATGAACGGTTACAGGGGACCGGCAAATGGATTTAGAGGTAAACAAATTTATCAGACGCTCTCATCTGTTATGTGGTGAAGGCTTAGTCAGGTGGATTAGGCATCTAGATGCTACTGAGGGTATAGATAAATATGGAAATGTGCAACAGAACATTTCCCAACTGAAATCTGATGATTAATTCAGATGCAAGTTGATGTTTCAAGAGCTTTTTTAAAATTTCCAGTTATAAGAAGTATATTTGCATATTTCATATGTATGAGTTGCATATTTCATTGTATGGAGAGTGGGCTGAATAATGTACAGATAGAACAAAAAAGTAATTTCTGGAACTTAACAGGGGCAGAGGAGTGATATTGTAGCTACATAAATAAGAAAACTTTCATGAATCTGGAGATTGTTATATGTGGTTTTCAGTGTTACAGAAATGGCCAGGTTGTGTATATGAGATTGGGAAAGACACACAGTCTCCTAATTAGGTATTCTGGGATTAGGCTAACAAATACAGCACTCCAAGGTCTCTTGTGCTGTTCTCCTCCTCTCATATTTTTGGAGAGTAGAGGAAAAACCTGTGTAATAGCAAAACACAGTTTGTTGTAGTAGAGAATGCGAAAAAGTGCCTTGCAGGTCCCAGCTGTTACATTTGGATCCCAGGAACCCAGTATTATGTTTAGCTCTGGATTGAATGTGGTGTAAATCAAACCTCAGATTACTAGAGCAACACATCAAATTGCTGTCTCCTCCCAATTTTATTAAGTCTTTCTTCTCGTTTCGTGTATTAGTATTAGCACTGATGTTGCAAATATTTCCTTGACCTGCAGGTAAACAGTACTTACCAAAGGTTTCTTCCTTAGGTTTAGGTAAAATGTCCATTATGGCCTTTCTTTGTCCAATAGCGTGACTTAACAGGTTGTCATTTTCAAGTGGAAGATTTATATCTTGTTCCTTAGGAGGATATGATGGCTACCGTCCTTCATTTTCCAACACTCCAAATAGCGGTTATACGCAGCCTCAGTTTAATGCTCCTCGGGATTACTCAAACTACCAGCGGGTAAGATACTGTTATGTGTTGATAGTCTGGAAATAGAATAAAAAAGTAGGCATCAACAGAAGCACTTGTACAGATCAGTTAATGACAACTTTTACCAGGACTTTTCTTGTTGTTAATGAAGACCGTTTCAGATACTGAACAGAAGTGATAGAATTTTAAATGGCTGGCTATCATTGGGAAACCTGTTCTGTTTGGCCGAGTGGTCTCTGGAGGAACTATTCTAGCAGCTAAAGCAAAGTTGAGCGTTTTATAAAGAGCTCTCTCTCAAACTATTTTTACAGCTTTGTGAGAAATAGGGGATTTTTAGGAAGAACTTAAAACCATTGAAATTAATTAATGAACTTGTTTGGGATTGCCTGTCTTCCACAGTAATGACGTCCTAATCTGAAATTGGCATAGAATTTCATTGTCCATAGGAAACGTGTTCAGTTTACTTAAAGCTTAGAGTGACCATTAAGAAAATGTCTGTCTTTGCGTGTCGCGGAACAAGTATTTATTAACAGATGAGACAGCAGATTTTGACCCTGCCACTCGAATGGTTGCTTTGTGTGTTGACTGGTGCCTTAAGAAATCCACCTGTTTGTGTAGTTAGGAAAAAACGTATCAGTAAATAGATCTGCTTACATTTATTATTCACATTGAGCAAAATATCTGTAATTGGAGAGAGAATTTGTCATTTTACGTTTTATTAGATACTAGTAGGAATAAGAATTTTTTTCCTCGGATTAATTTCAACTGAAAAAATGCTGTACACTGACATTAGGTTTCATCGGTGCAGGTTGTTTTAAAAGCTCTTTATTTTAGTTACAATTAGTATCTTCCTGAAACATAACAAATTGCTCAAGTCTTATGTCATAACTTTGTTTCCATTTCTGTTTTCCAGGATGGATATCAACAGAATTTCAAGCGTGGCTCTGGACAGAGTGGACCTCGGGGAGCTCCACGAGGTAACTCAAGAATGAGTTACCTTTGATCTCAACAGTTGGCCCAGCTTTTGAGCAGGGGGTTGGACTGGGTGATCTCTTGAGGTCCCTTCCAACTTGATTTATCCCATGAACCTCTGATGGAAGTTTAGTTGGCTGTAGAGTGAGGAATTCTTTGAAAAGAACTTACATTTAAAGTGTCGCAATTAATTGTCTTTGTAGCAGAAGTATTCAGTTGCTTTTTTTTATTGTTAATGAAAGCCTTAGAGGGTTTTTTGGGTGAGTTTTATCATGGTTTAAGATCTGCTCGCTAGGAACATTGTTAGTTTGCGAGTAAGACTTGCTTATAAAGCTGATACCTGGCTTCCAGCCTTCAAAATTGTATGTTTTACTCTATTTCAGTAAAGATGTGCTACCCGCATCTGTTGCGGAGGTCTCCTTTGATCTAAGGATACAAAACTTTCCTTCTTGGCTCATCTATTCCTAGAGCCTATAGATTTGTTATTACTTTTAGCATGTGGAGGTATGTTCTCCTGTAGTTTCTTGCTAGTATTTGCCGTTTGTTTGTCTGAGGAAAAATAAAACCTCGTTGCTTGTGATGAAGCTGTAATTGAACTTCAAAATTTGAGTTTTCAGCCCTATTTCCACAGTTCTATTTTTAGTATATGTTTGGTAGTGAGACTGTTTTCTGTCTCGAACAGATAATTCCATGAGAATCTTTAGTTACTATCCCACAGCGTTGTCAGGGATGACAGCTCGAGGCTGTATGATGTACTTGAAAGAATTTTGTCCTTGACAGTCTTGCTGCTGAAGTCTCTATACTGTATTCAACACAGTGTTAGGCTGTGATGAAGCTATGAGCGTATTATAGAAAGCATAGCTGTAATGAGCAAGAGTCCTGAGGCTCATTGCTTCTGAAGTGCAGGTAGAAACTTAGTTAAAAGATGGTTTGACATGAGAGGGATTCGCCAGGTGACCTACTTTTCCCATGTTCTAAGAATGTAGTTAAGCTACAAGCAGTCTCTTAAGGAAGAACAAAATGGAAGCAAAATGAGGATTAGCTAGCTCAGAGTGCGTATATTTAAAATACACTAAACCAATTATTGCTTTGCATTATTGTAAAACCTTAATTTTAGTCTTTTGTCGATAACTTCATGACTTGATTTTTGGTTTTTTTCCACTTGAAATTATTACAACTTTGCAGTCTTGGGGAAAAAATATTAGGAAAAAGCTGAAAAGTGTAAAGACAGGTTACTTACTGTTGAATTTTGATTTAGAAGGGCTTTCTAAAACCATGTATTAGTAGCCTAGATACACACCTGGGAATTTTTACCCAATTGAGATCAGAGCTTTGAGGAATTTTTTTTAAAACAACTTGACTTCACACACAATTTCATTGCTGCCTTTATCTTTTTTTTTTTTTTTTTCCCCCTAGGTCGGTCGTGGAGGGCCCCCAAGACCAAACAGAGGGATGCCTCAAATGAATGCTCAGCAAGTGAATTAAACAAATTCACAGGATTACATTAAACGCCAAAAACACACTGGCCAGTGTACTATACATGTTACCAGAAGAGTTATTATCTATTTGTTCTCCCTTACAGGAAGTTTGTTGTAAAGGGACTATTTTCATTACCCATAATGACAGGACTACAGTTGCCAGCTTTATATTACCTGGATATGGAAAGAAACGAAACAACGTTTACTCTGCATGTTCTGTCCTAAGCATCATCTTGAGCCTTGCACATGAGATTCAGATTCCTCACCCTTGCTAAGAGTAAAGCAAAAAAAAAAAAAAAAAAAAAAGGCAATTTCCAGGGTGATCCAACCTCCATGGTTAACTGAAGTGGCAGGAAAAAAGCAAAAGACTCACTTCTGACATTTAAGTGATGCAACAAATTTGGATACAATCTGCAAAAAAGATTTACTGTAATGGCAGTTGACAGATTTTAATGTTTCCATGAAAGAAGGATAGAAAAAGTGAAGTGTGGCTTGGTAGAGCAACTGCATTTCAGCTTTTTCTTGTTAAATTAAAGCACTGAACAGTGAAAGATGTGTAGTGGTGCATATATCCCTAAATCGACAAATGGGCTTATAGCCGGGTTTTGATAACCAAGAATCTCTTAGCTACAGCACTCCCCATGACCAGGGCCCTGTGTACTGTGGCTAAGGATGTGAAATTGCCTGCATAACTGCTAATGGAATTGTATAAATTCAAAAGCAACATGAACAACAAAGCTTTGATTTGGCCCTTCAGCAAAATTTTGCAACAAATGTGAGATATAATCTGGATGGCCACTGTATATTTGATGTGAAGTATTTAGATATCTCTGGAATACGTTCTAAGTTTCTTTGATAGCAATGACTTTTATAAGGATTGGTACTCTCTATCATTCCTTATGACTTGCACATTGTCTGTCACTAATACTTGACCTTGCTGTATTATCACCTGAATAACTGATGCCGGTACTGATGGAAACCTCTAATGGATAATCATAACACTTTTGGTCACATGTCCTCTTGTCTTTCCTGCAGCCTTGAAGGTTTTAAGAAATCTCAAAATGCCCGCTGCTGCTGCCCTTTTAATTGCTCTCTTTTGAAAAGCACCAGTATGTGTTTGAATTGATTTCCCCTTTTAAGGGAAGTGACAGCCAGCAGTTACAGTTCTAATGGTATAAGCAAGACAAATAAAACATGTTTATAAAAATTGTATCCTGGAACACTGGTTTTCAACGACTGAAACAAATTTAACGTAATGCGTTTTTTCCCTGATAGGATAGACGTAAACCCACTTACTCCTTTTCTAATTTTATTCTTATAGCTGTGACTTGTTCTGGGAGACTTTTTGTTTATGGACACTTTCCTTTTCATTCAGGCAGCGATGTATAGAAGAAATAGCATAAGACTAGGAACTGGAAAATACCAAGTCTTATTTGAGTTTTACTGCATACTTGTGGTATAATCTTTGGAAAATCACTTGTGCCTACCTTTTGTGCACATGCACTCTCTCTGCAGTGGGGAGAATATGTTGATAGCTGCCTCCATAGAGGTGTTGGTTGTTCTTTTGCATTCTGTAGCACATGCAAGAAGTGCTAAATGTTAAGTATTGCTCATCAAATAATTCCTCCTTGTGGAACGGTGACATTAAGAAACAGCTACATGTTGTTTTAACTGTTACATACAAAATTGAAGGTTGTTTTCATGCAGAAGGTCATTTCTACTTTGTATCACAATTGAACTTTCAGAACTTTTAGGCAGGTTTTTTTGACTTCATTGTGAAATAATCTGAAACACCATATAAATAAGTGATAATTACATTTTGACATGTTATATGTGTGAAGAGCACAAATGAGAAATACGTGTTTACTAAGAAAAGTCATAAGCTTGTGAAGACAATATTACACATCAGCCATCTTGAAATGATGCTAATGGCTAGGAGCAGCAGTTTTAGTCAAAGCCTAGAAACATTCCTTACCAGTATAATGGTATGAACTGCAATCCAATTAGAAGTTGCAGTTTTGTCTTTTTTTTTTTCTTTTTCCTTTTTTGGAAGGGATTACTGAGATAAGAGTCTCAACTTTTTTTTTTTTTTAAATGGAAAAATAAAAAGACACACTTCTTAGTGTTGAACTGATAGAGGAAAACAATTTTTTTTTGATCAGCTTGCTTTTAAATGGTTAGTAGAACACAAGCTATCCAGCTTTTTCCATTGCATACCAAATGCTTCTTCAATAGCTCATTGTAGTTTCACAGTAAACTTGCAGCATACTGAATTAAAGACCACTGACTGGATGAGAACATTCCACTTTAGGGTTTAGGTTGTTTTTAAACGTAACTTAAATGTATTAATAAAATGTGGGTAGTTGTGAGGCCTCTTATTTGAGGTGTAAGCTTGTGAATCTTTTCATGTATGAAAATGGTCTTTAGGGTAGCTGTTCTACTGTGTGCTGATAGAGGGAGATGTGTTATAATAACAACCATAGAACGAGTACGTTGGACATAGTTAATCTAGGAAATTGCACAGACTCATTTACTCTCAATAAATGCAGCTAATAGTGTACTGAAATACTGCCTTGAGTCACAGTATGGCACATAGATCGACTAACTGGTTTTCTGGCCTGCTTTAGAGAATCCGTGTGTCAGCCTGATGGTTAATTGAATCTATCCATAGTCTTTTGTGCTACACTTCTCCCCCACTGCGGTGCAGGTGCAGAGCTGCACATTTTAAAGAATTCTATTTAGATAGAAAATGGTGAGAACTTAAGAGCTCTTCGGTATCCACCCACCCTAACTTAGCTCTAGATCTGAGTTACCTGCAGATTGCAAGCACTTCTACATAAATTTCTTTCTAAAAGACCTTGTTCCGAACAATGACCATTACAAGAAGTGGTCACATGGAGGCAAAATAGCAGCAGTTCTGGGCTGCTTCTGCTGTAGAACCCTTTCTGGACGTGAACTGCCGTTAGTCTAGTGAGCTGCAGCTTTAGGATCAGTTAAGCCTGATGCCTGTGGCTGGAAAAGACGGAGTGAGCATAACAAAGCACTACTCTTGAGCCTGTATGTAGACACATCACTTGCACACCTTATTTTCGGTGTTTTTACTTGATTATTCTGTGAATCAGTCTCCTAGGAATGTAACAGACCGGTGTATGACTGGCTTCTGTATATACAGTTACTATGAGGAGATAGTGGTTTGAGGTTTTTTTTTTTTCTATTTTAAATTTTTTTTGTTGTGTTTTTTTGTTTTTTTTTCCCCCCCCAGGGCTTATTTGCCTGATATTGCTAGGCTGTGGTAACATATGGTGGTATGTGTTTTGAGAACCAACTTTCAGCTTCAGTGTCTTATTTCCTTTTGGCTATAATACAATATTCCCTGAGTAAATCAGTTAGAAATGGCTCCAGAATATCCAGATGTTTCTGTTTAATGTTACTATGTCTGGGAAGCTCGGATTCTTCCTAGATGTCCTGCAACTTAAATATTTAATTCAAGAATCATTAACTTCTGTCTCACACCTAACATCTGTTTTGTCCTGTGTTTTACTTAGATGTTCTCCTTGTATACTGGCTCTCTTAAGAATCGTTAGTCACTTTTGGATGTCACTGCGGAGGGAGTTTTAGACTTCACTTACCCTCTGTTTTCTTTCCAAGAAACCACCTTGTGTACAGCAATCTCTAAAACATTTTACCATTCAGTCTAGTTGTGAGAGGGATCTTGACTTCTTGTTAGCCAGTAATGTGTTCTGCTGGTACTTTCTAACTTTTAGAGAACTTCATGACCTTAACAATTTATCTTCTCAGCGTGCCCTATCTAATTGATTTGCTACCTAGGCAGAGTCTTGTTTGGGTTACAGGTTGCCTTCATCCATATCGTCTTTGGAGAACGGGTATGAGGTTGAGCTTCCCCCTCTCCTCCAAATGACGTGTGGAGAGGGGAACGTCCTGAAACGGCTCTAACCCCACACAAATACTGAGAAGATGATTAAATGGTACTGAGAAGGCAGCAACTTCATGGGATTAGTTAAGCAAGCAGGGCAAAACCTCTGAGATTCAGCAGAATAAGACCGATTGGTCAGAAAAATCTTGGTCTTCCTGTTCATTCAAACTTCTGGCAGAGTCTGAGCAAAGTAGTTGAGTCGTCTTACCTCTTCTTTGTGAGAACGGTTACAAGTGTTCATCTGAGATGCAGGTGTTTGGGGTCAGTATAACGGACAGGTTTGTGTTGTATTCAGTTTTCTGCCATCCTGTATCCTATAGATGCAGAGGATCATTAGCCAGCCCCATTAACGAGGTTATTGGAACCACATCTTGAAAAATACTGTATTGTACTCTCTTGCTCCTGCAAAAACTGTTCTTGAAGAAAGGATATGCAAAGTACCCAAACAGATAACAAAGCTATATGAAGAAGACTACGTGTTTTTATTCTTGCAAATCTTTGCACCTATCGTTACAGTATTCCCTCGGCATTGAATAGGGGTGGGACTATAAAGGCTTTTAATCGCTTGAACTGTCAGCAAGTTTTATGGATGGGGGTGGGTTGGTATTCTTTACCACCGACTGACCTAAAGATCAGTGCCTCGTAGCCTCGTATGAAGAACAACTAGAAAATGACACTGAACAAACTGTTCATAAGATTTTCCTTTTGAATTTAGGAGGAAGTTAATGACTTTTTTTTTTTTTTAAACCTGGGATTAAATATAGGTATGATTTTCCTCTGGAACATTATTGGAAACTCATATATTGCAAAAACTTTGTAGTTTCCTTGGAACTCTCTTTTTCTCTAAATGACAAAATTTCTTTTTAAATGTTAACGTTCTCTGACTGTTCCATCACAGCAACAGCGTCTGAATGTTTGACCAGTCTCATAATAATCTCAGATTTCTTAGATTCAGCTGCAGCATGAAACAAGCTTTGGGAAAACTCAGTTCAACATCAGATTGACACTCATGGTAGTCATGAATGAGGCTAATCATTTAAACTATGATTTTGTATTTCTGTTTGCCTAATTCCTCTTTCCAGGAGTAGGAAGAGGGGGAAGGTCCTTCAAACTCTCCTGTTTGCAGATACTACTTTTCTTTGCATTCGAATGTTTTTCCTCCCAATCAATGCATTTGCCAAGAGGAAAGCTTTCATGCTTTTGGTAACCACTACACCTGGCCGCTGAGGGATTGATGCTACCTTCAAAGCATCTTCTGCCATTAAAGGGAAAGAAGGCATCTGTGATGATATGGCGAGGCTGTACTGGACTTTTAAAGAAATTTCTCTTCCTATATGTGAAAGAAAGCCCTGTCCCTCATATACGCTTATGAAAACTTAAAAGCAGCATCTTGGATTTCTGTCTCTATTTCTACAAAATTTCAGAAACTGGAAATTGTTGAATTGTTGGTGTGATGTGACACAAGTTCCATACAAACAGGAATCTCTTGAGAAACTAATCTTCTGAATGGCTTATCTAAGAGAAGAGGTGCTATTAATCACTTTTTTTCTTAGGCTTTTTGAATATAACGAAATTAAATTTTTTGTGGCTCTTTAGATCTAGCCTTACTGGAGAGAAGGAAAACTGTTTTCCAAAATCCACATCCTAAACCAGTTCAACCAGTGTTTACGAGAACTGCATTGGGAGAACTTTCGTCTATCTTGACAGTTGCGACTCTTGTTCTGAAATCAAATTCATCAGTGTTAGCTGTTGCTGCAATTATTATTCCATTAACTCTAAAAGTTAGGTTGTTTGTTCCCTCTTTGCCCCTGCCATTTTTTCACGTTAATAATCAAATGGGTGTAATTACTTGCTTCCAACTATGGTGGCCAATTTCTCCTTTCTGCAATATATGCTGGAATACCCAATAGTGGATCAAGAGTACACCTGAATATTTTTTTTATATATTCAGATAAATTTCGCTAATTATTCATTACTCTTATTAAATGAAAATGTGTTTCTTCTCTAAAGCTATTCAATTTTAGAATAAATTTTAGTAATGCATCTACCATAAAGCAAGTCTTTAGAATTACATTTTAGTTGACAGGTTCAAATTTTCTGATGGCCTTAAATGTACCTGTATATATGTCTTTGCAATTCTTCAGCTCTCCATTTCAAACAAATTGGTCCATGGCTTATGTAAACACTTGAAAAATAAATTATTTAAATGCTTTATGTCCTTCCCTTTTAAGCAAATACTTTATGCCTTTACCTTAAAGGAATTGTCTTGCTGCACTTCTGTTGCATCAGTGGTTTTGTCTTAGGAACTGGGTTCATCTTCTCAAAAAGTGTTGTTCTACAGTCATATTTTTAATTCAATAGTTTTATCATATTTTTGCTATATTTTAAAATCTATCCCAAAATACATCAAACATTGCCAGTGGAATCAAACATTTTTCGTATGATGTTACATGATTTTAAATATTTTGTTGTTCAAAACTTTTTTTTTTTTGGCAGTGCTGAAAGCTAAGAATAAATATATCTATGCAAATAGCTTGACTCAACTTTGATATTGAAAGGTTAACGTTACAGGTTTCAGGTTGTTAGGAATAGCTTTGTTGTCAGTTTTAGAATACGTTTAATGTTTCCACAGTCTCTTATTAGATTTGAAACCAAGTCAGACTGATAAAGTGTTTTCATGTTGCAGCTCCACTGTTTTGCAACTTGCAATTTTGTATAGAAAACTTAACAGTTGTGGTTTTTATTAAATAATGGAGCTTAAATGTTACAAGCTACCTAGTTTTATTCAGAAACAAGGTTACTAGCATTTCTTGGGGTTTCATAATTTAGTATTGGAAAACAATATGTCCTAAAGATTTGTTATTCTCTGTAGGTGTGCTATATTTGCTTTCGGCAGTCTTGTTTCCGCGGAAATTCTGTGCGCCCATTTTTTTTCCTAACAAAACCAAAGGATGCCTAGTGACACAGTGCATCACTGATGTAATAACCTGCCGCATGTGGAAATGGAGGATCTTTATAAAATCTTTAGAGGTACAGTGTTTACTCCAAATGGGTTGGGTTTTGCAAGCAAGATTTATTTAGAACAAAGGATTTTAAAATAAAATCAGTGCTGCCATTGCTGCTGAAGTTTGGATTATCCCATTTTTGCGGTCTAATAAGAACGGTTGTAAAAGCTGTTGTAAAAGTCACCAAACAAAACAAATACAGAACAGATGTGAAAGTTCATAACGCCTGTCGTTAAACTGGTCTGCACGTTGTTCGTGGGTTCTGGAGAGCGGGCTGGTCACAGGATGCCAGGTTACTTTTGAGGACTAAATTATTGTGGTGCCTGTGGTATGTAGTTGAGGATGGATAAGTAATTTAAAAGGTAGGTGCCAGAAGCCCTGTATTCTTACAGGCCAGAGAATACCTGTTTGTGACCGAAGGAATTAGGTGTGTGTTTGGGCTGAAGCGTTGCTTAGGCCGATGCCTGTGCGCTCGCCCGACCTTCTCCAGGTCTTCTCCACCCTCTCGCGAAAGGGGATGCGGTACCTGCTGACGGGTGGCGCCGGGACGCCTGCCGCCT